GTCCCGAAAGCAATTGGCACGCGCAGTGTGGGTGAAATCCCACCAGCCGTCTGGGCGTAGGCGGTATAGGGAGTTTCCTCTTCCAGCTTCCCTTCTTCCCCTTCGGGGAGGGGTTTACCCCTCCCCCTAACCCCCTCCCCTGGACCTGGACGGGCCCGGTCGCGAGCGGTCAGAGTGTCCAAGATGGCCCAGGATGGCTCCATGAGCGCCTCGGATAGCCCAGGATGACTTCCAAGATGGCTCAAGATAGCCAAGAAATGCCGCAAGATGGTTCCGAAGATGCTCCAAGACGCTCTCAGAACGCTCCAAGACAGCTCCAAGAGGCAAATTATCTCCCCAAGGAGGCCCCCCAAGAAACCAAAATCCATCAAAAACCTACGGAAAAAAACAATGATGTCCGGTTTCTCGCCTTTCCGCTTCCGATGGCCATATGAGGCCTCAGCATGGCTCCAAGAGGGGCCAAGGAGGCCCCAAGAGGGCCCAAGAGGGCCCCACGACGGCCCCAAGAGCGCCCAAGAGCGCTCCAACAGCTCCCCAAGAGTGGTCCAGGCGGCTATATTTGGGGAGCTCCCGAGGGGCAGGGTTAATTAGGGAACCCCCCTTCTTTGATCGATCGTTCCCAAAAAGGCCCCACAGGACGCCCAGGAGGCCCCCAAAGGCTTCCAAGAGGCCTCCAAGAGGCCCCAAGAGGCCGCCATGAGGCCCCAATAAGCCCCCAAGAGGCTCCCAGGATGGTTCCAAGAGGCCTCCAAGAGGCTCCAAGAGGCCGCCATGAAGCTCCAAGAGACCCCCAAGAGGCCCCAGGAGGCCTCGAACAGGCCCCCAAGAGCCCCCCAAGAGGATCCCAAGCGGCCCCAGGAGGCCCCCCCGAAGCACCCAAGACGCCCAAGAGTCCCCATTGACCGCCAAGAAACCCCCAGACGCCCGAAGAGGCTTCCAAAAGGCTTCAGAAAGGCATCCGAGCGGCATTCAACCATCCACCCAGCGTCATCATTCTCCTCATCCCGCCTTCGCTCGGTTCCTCGCCACCCCCTTCATCTATCCATCTGGCCTCCTCTTCCGCCTCCTTTTGCACGGATCGACTGTCCCTCTCGTTGCTCCCCCACTTCCCTGTTCTTTTCAATTGCCTGGACATCGTTTCTGGATGGGTTGGTGGGGATGTTTTTTACTCGGCGGCTCCAAGGAAGACCCCAGGGAGCGGTCACAACGTCCGGGCCACGGCGCATTGTAAATTGGCGATCCAGCCGCCAGTGTAGGCAGCGGACCGCACCTGCAAGCGAGCTCGCAGTTGCATGCACAGCACACGTACTAAATTCGAGGCGGCTGAGTGTCGTCAAGGCGGCGCCAACACAGAAAACCGGGCGAAGTGAGCGAGCAGAGACACTAGGCAGCACCCTGTATGGTGGTGGAGCCAGGGCCAAGCGCTACGTACTTACAAACACCACGGTTGGGCGGACCACGTGGGATGCCATCAGAAAAGATCACTGAAGTGCATCGGCGAAGGACCACCTGCGGCTAACGCCAGCGTGCGCACACAGAGACCGACACAACCAGTGCGGCGAAATAGCAGTGCGCAGCTGACGACAGCAGCGCAGACTGCACTGCGAGAGGAGGGGCGACTGCAACAGCGGGGAGCTGATCACTCACTGCACGGCCGCACCCATAAAGCCGAGCCAGGCGTAGCCCTGTGTATGGTGACAACAGCGCCCAGTCGCTGCAACGGGGCCAGCGTGCTGCCTCGCCGAACGTGTCGTGAGAGAAAGCAGGAAGCCTGGTGCCAGCGAGCTGATGTCCAGGGCTGCGTTGAGAACGACCAAGTGGCAGGCCCGACCAACCACTGCGTCGTCACACTCGACCGAGGAGGTGGCTGAACTGAGCACCAACCAGCAATGCAAACCACCGGTATGTGAACGAGAAAGCCATCTCCAGCCAGTAGCCAGCGTAACGCACCGTACCCGACTCACGCAGTTCGGGGACGCTGCGGCGCGTGTGCTGGCAAGGTGGTGGCCTGGGCTGCAAGTTTGCGCCATGCCGTGCACCACGACCAGACCGCGGAAGGCTGAACCACTCACAGCGGGCACGCAAACTAGCTATATCCAAACCACGGCCACAGTCACGCCTCCCACCGTGTCACCAGAGCGGGGGCAAGATGCCAGCGCCTCGAGGGCAGAGCGGGGGCGTCGAGCGGTCAAGCTGCAGCTTCGTAGGCTGCCTTGCACGCACACGTACCCACTACCTCTTGGGCGGGAAGGGTGGGTCGGCGACGAGGGACGGGCACACCTCAGGGCCATAGCATGCATCCGGGCAGCGGGGCTGCACCTCAGGCTGGTGGGGATACTTTCTGTTCGGCGGGTCCAAGGACAGCTCCAGGAAGCGGGATTGACGTCTGGGGCACAGAGCGAGATAATTGGCTGCAGTGGCACGGAGGCCGCTGAAGCGGGTGCACATGCCAGGGACAAAGTGACCCCCATTGGGGACCAACGCAGGCAACCCAGCGGAAGGGGACGCGACCGTGGTACCGGCGGCGGCCAAATAGGAGCAGTCGCCCTTACGGCGCCAAGCTCCAGCCGAACCACACAGCACGAAAAGGCGCGGAGCGACAGACCGCACTGTAGCGGCACGGGATGGCCAGGACGAGACCGAACTCCGGCCAAAACACACGGAAGGCGGGCAAGATGGAATGGGAGAGCCGCAGCGGATGCCAGACGAACACCCAGCGGCAAGGCTGGTGGGGATACTTTATTTTGATTAGCGGCCCGCAAGGGAAAGTCCAGAGGGCGGGGTTACCGAGGCTGGGGAACAGCGCAAGATAATTAGCGCGAGAACGCGCGGAAAGCAGGCGGAAGCGCCAGCGGCGGGCGGTCGCGGGCGGGCTGCGGCCGCGACTAGCGGCGGGCGCGCGAGGCCGCGGTCAAGCGGCACGCAGCAGCGTCCTAGGGCGTCAGAGCCAGCGTGCAATCCAGGGAGTCTGCAGAACAACCCCTGAACGAGACATGCAACGGTGCATCCAGGGAGTCTGAAGACAAACACCGAGGAAACCGAGCGCAGCCAGCCGCGGCTGGCGGTGTCGCGGCTGGCTGCGCTCCAAGTGAAGCAGTTGTCGGCGAAGCCGTCGATGCCGCCATCCGCGCTGGTGACGGCGAACAAGGCGGTCGCCTGGATCACATCGTCGGCGCTCTTGCCACTGTCGCGTCAGTAGCAGAGCGGCCGAGTTCGAACCGCGTTGGTGGCCCTGGCTGTCGTGGTCCACGTCGCGGCCGTAGCCTAGGCCGCTGCTCTGGTTCCCATCTTGGAGGGCACAGTCGTCAGCGCACCTGTGGGGGTAGCGGCCAGCGACGCAGGTGGTGAACCTGTCAGGGAGCCCTTTCGCGCTGCGGCTGGGCCCGCGGTCGGCGTGACAGTGCCGCCGTCGGCGCAACTCTCGGTACCAGTCGGCGCGGGCGTTGGTGCCGCAACCGGCGCACCAAGGGCAGGCCCTTTACGCCTGGCAGGCCCTCTCCTGCCACGTGAGCACCTCCTTCAGCCCGCTGATGGGTCCAGCGGGCTGGCCTGCCCTCTCGGCCCTCTCCCAGGCGTCGAAGGGCTCGACCTGGTGCTCCAAGTAAGCTTCATTCAGCTTGCCCGCCGCCTGAGCCTGCTGAGCGGCCCTGACACGAGCGGCCGCTATGGCCCTCAAAACTGTCCTCGCTGCCTCACCGTCTACGTGGCCGCGGCGCGTGAGGCTCCAGCGAAACCTAGCCGCCTCCATGGTCCGCATCAGGACCTCGTCCAGCGTCTCGAACTTCCCCTGGGGCGGCTGCCACGACTGCTCGACCTCCACGGCTGCTGCGGAGCTGGCCATCTCAGCCAAGCGTCGCCAGGCCTCCAGTTCACGGCAACGCCTCCTGCGCCGCGCGCCGAGCCGCGCCCTGCGAGCCTGGCGCCCACACCGAGTGCCGCGGTCTCCGCTCGCCGCCGCACTCGCGGCGCCGAGGGAGGCCTCGCTCAGCCCCAGGCCGCCCGTCCCTCTGGCATAGGCGTCCTGGGGGTGAGCAGGCGTGCAATGGCCCAGCCCGCTCACATCTGAAAAGGCCCGGGTCGTCAGATCAAAAACTAAGCTTTGGCGACTACGGAGGAGGAAAAGGGGGGAGAGAGAGGACAGACGAGAGCTACGCCAGCAGGCAAAACCTCCTGTTCTAACGAACGACTACGGAGGGGTGTGCCGAGATGGGTGGCAGGGACGCGTGCGAAAAGTGCCACTGGGACCTTCGCTGGAGCCCCCTAGTGAGCCACGAAACGTGCGTAGGTCGTGCCGAAATGGGTGGTCGGGACGCATCATGCGAACGGTGCCACTGGGACTTTCGGTGTATCTTCCTATGGGACCACCAAAGATGTGACGGGTGCGCCGACATGCGTGGCGGGGACGCATGCAAGCGGTGTCAATGAGACCTTCGGTGTAGCTTCCTATGGGGCCACGAAGCGTGTGAGGGATGTGCCGAACGGTGGACATTCGGAGGGCAGAGGTGGGATGGGAGGAGGGAGGAGGGAGCGGGAGGAGGCGCGAGTGAGGGACGCGGGGCGCTGAATTCTTCGAAACGAGGACCCAACACCACACCGTCGATCCGTCCTCATCCCAAGCCCACCAGGCTGCCCTGTGGTGGCTCGAGACCGGCCCCCTGGCACTGCGGCGCCACGGCTGTGAGGAAGCGGCAGCCCCCCGACGCCACACCGCGCGGCCAGGATCCGAGGGCTTGCCTAAGCCGAAGTCAGGACGATGATAACATCGGGTGAGGGCAGTTCCAGCATCTCTGAGGTCCGGCGGCTCTGGAGGATGTATCAAACACCGCAGCTTCTCAGAACGTTCCGGGACGCTCTGAGAGCGTTCTGGAACGCTCTCGAACGTATGTATCCTCGTCCTAGCTCCGTCCGATTGCCCCCCTTCGCCCAGGGAGGTGGCGGCGTGAGGGACGAAAGACGCCCCTCCGCGCAGCAGGGGACGAGAGACGCTCCAGGCCCGCGACCGAGCACATCCCCTTCCAGGTCGGCGGCGGGACCCTGACGCGGTCGATGAAGTCGGCGGCCTGGGCGGCTAGGCAGATAGCATCCTCCTCATCCACCCCCACCCTGCTTTTCTTCTTCCTCCGTCTCCTCATCCTCCTCCCCATCCTCCTATGCTGAAATGCACTAGCAATCGTCTCCATTTCCCTCCGGCAAGCCTGCCTGCTGCCGAAGTCGGCGGTGGACAAACCTCCCTTTAGCAAACCACCCTTTAGTGAAAACGGCCTAGGACAGAAACCGACGGACCTGGATCCGCAAAGATGACAGCCGCGCGACCCTCTCGCGAACCGAAAACGGCCAATTCGCTTATCGACGTGTCAGGGTAGGAGGTCTATCAACCTCCAACGATGCATTTCTGTTCCGACGCTCTCTGGGATCAGAGCTCTTGAGCCCACGGGTTCAGACCAGAAAAGTGCTGCGACGGCGGCGGCGGCCGTCACCTGATGGCAGCGGAGCTGGCCGAATCGCCCTCGGTCAGCTCCCGCCTCCGCTGCACTACGCGCAGAGGTAAACTTGTTCCCGCCCCTGGCAATGGCGGTGGCTTTCCAGCGCAGAGCTGGAGGGCAGCCACGGCGAGGAGGTTAGCGGCTCCTCAATTATGCTGGGCCTGGGAGGCTTGGCGCGAAACTGGCAGCGGAGAGCCCACTACGCTCGAGGTGTGCATCACCCCCTGGATCCGAGCTGTCGACGTGCCGAAGATCAGCAATCTAGAGTTTGAGAAGGACATTCCTCGGTACGACGGCGATCCTGCGCACTTCGAGGAGTATCAGGAAAGGGCCCGCGACGCGTTCTTCGGTCGGATGGGCGACGAGAAACATATTGCAACGCCGGTCATCAACCTGAGGAACGAGCTCAGGCCTCTCGCGCTCCCAGCTCCTGACCTTCGAAGGGGAGACCGTCGAGGGCATCAAGGGCGGCGTCAGCTACGTCAAGAAGCGAGCGACGACCGACGGACTGGAGCTGCGAGTCGGTGCACGAGGAGCGCCCCGTCAGGGCGGCCGAGCTGTTCGACGGAGCGCTGTACGACAAGTCCGTCTGACGGGCGCCCAGCGAGAGCATGCAGGAATACATCACTCGGCGCTCGAAGGCGCTCGAGGATCTCAAGAAGGTGAGTGAGGAGCCTAGTATCTTCAACGATCTACAGGCCCACCTGCTGCTGAAATTCTCGGGGCTCGAGAAATCAGACAACGCGAGTATCATCCGCTCAGCGGGCAACATGTACGACCAGGACGCATTCGCCAAGGCCCTGACAATGCAGCACCCGAACGTCCACGAGCGCGCGAGCTGGAGGAAAGACAAGGAGCAGCGCGGCGATCCTCGGCCTCCACGGTTCGGGCCGAAGCGTCACCCGTACCGCGTGGCTTGGCAGGCAGGCATCGAAGATGGCGACGAGGAGGATGATGAGGACGGGCAGTCGCACATCGCTTCGGAGCCCGAGATCTACATAGGCGAGGAGGAGGCCAGCTTGGAGGAGATCGACCAGAGGGATGAGGAGGCGCTGGAGAGCATCGCGGCGATCGTCCAGCACAACCAAACATGTCATGCGAAGAGCCACGGGAATGGCCGCGGCAAGGGTCAACCGCGCTCAGCTGGCTCTGCGGCGAGTTCCTTGGATCGGCCACGGGACCGCAACGGCAAGGCACCCAACGACAACCCAGAGCGCAGATCAAGGATCGAGAAGCTGAAGCGTACGACGAGGTGTGCGAGCTGTCGACAGATCGGCCACTGGCATGGCGACGCAGCTGTCCGAAGTCGACTCGCACCCTCGGACATGCCGAAGTCCGCCTACTTCTCGTTCAGCGACTTCGACGGCAAGCGCAACCAGAACACCAAAGGCAGCGGTCTACGTCGTGGCGTCGACGACCTCGGGAGGCGCCGACCTCGGGGCCATGGTGAAACCGAAGGCACGTGCGAAGCCGAAACCTGACCGGAGAAAGGAGATGACCGAGCTAGACTACGAGCCGCCCCCGAGGAGGTCGGACTCCCAGTGCGTGCGCGCGCTGCCCGGCGACAGCCGATTGGTCAAGGGCGCGAACGGTACGACGAGGTACATCACATGCTAAAAGCGCAGGGACGGCACCCACGTTGTGTGGACCTCGAGGGTGAAGGAAGATTGCATCAACAAGTGGAAGCACATCATGTGCTCGATGTTCTTCACGCGGCACGGGCGCTGCTTCCTCAAGGCCTGCGAGACCAGGAGGCCGGCGGCCACCGGCTCAAGGGCACCTGGGCGTACGAGGCCAGGGGCCGTCGGCGAGCTCAACGTCCACCGGGCCGCCACCAGGCGGCGGGGCCCCGCCACCTGCGAGGCCGCGGGCCAAGAAGGTGGCGTTGGAGGTCCCAGTGCCTACCACCGAAGACGAAGGGGAAGACGATGCCGTGCCCTACCCAGAGGACGACCCGCATGAGGAGGACGACGAGCCCCAGGAGTGCTTCGTGGAGTAACCCGTGGACTTCACACTGGACGTGGAGGAGGTGGACACGAAGAGGCCGCCACAGGGCTGCGAGAGGATCAAGACTGGGAAGTGCAGCGGTTACACCTTCGCTGAGTTCAGCGACCACCCGAACACCAACGCATACGGCGTCGACATCATCCGCAGGGCGATGAGGCAGGACGTTCCTGGATGCAAGCTCGGGGTCGACCTGTATCGGCTGGCGTGGTACTTGATCAGCCTCACGGCGCAAGGAAAATGGAGCGCGGACGAGAACCGGGGCAGCTCGGCGGCGGGCTCGAAGGACTCTGAGATTTTGATGGCGATCAGGTCTGAGGACGGGCTCGACGCCCTCGCGTCTAGGAGGGATGACCCTCCCGGCGTTGCGGTGCTGGTTGCGGCGTGCCAGATGACTATGCACGGGACTCCCTGCAGGGTGAAGTACGAGCACGCCTTGTACGAGCGGCACCTCATGACGAAGGCCCACTCTCAGAGAACCACGCTCCACGGCGCTGGCGGCAGCACACAATTGGACTCTGTGTTCTACCTACCCGCTGGCATCGGAGGAGTGCCCGTCACCCTGGGCTCGGCTGAGCTAACCCAGGATGCGCCGCTACTGATCAGCAAGGAGACCCAGACGAAGCTTGGTGTGAAGATCGACACGCCCAACAAGAAGACGGACTTCACCACGCTGGGGATTTACGACTACCCGCTGATGGACACCGCGGCGGGCCACCTCGGCGTCAATCTATTGGACTTCGAGGAGGCCAGCGTGTTCGGAGAGGAGCTCCAGGCGTTCCCGGAGAAGGACGTGCAGGACAAGTACAGCGTCGACACGGACGTGATCGACTTGGCGAAGGTGCTGGCGAGCTGCATCACCGAGCAGGGAGACCAGGCGGAGCCAGAGGAGGTCTTCGAGGATCCCAAGGAAATCGACTGGGCGGAGGACCCCTTCGTGTGAATAACGACCTCGAGGCGCGCAAAGAAAGTACAGGCTATGCATGAGGACCGGCTACGACGTGTTGACGGGTACGTCGAGCCGTACCAGGAGGCTTCGAATTGGGAAGACGTTGCTGACGCAGCTGTTCTGTGGCCAGTTCGGCCTCGCGCTGCTTGCGACCCCAACTTCGGGTACAACTGCGGCCAGCCGCTGCACATCGAGTACGGCTGGGATGGCACTACGTGTGCGGGAATGAAGCTGGCAGGGCGACAGCTCTTGGAGGACGCTACATGATGGTAATCACGATGCCCTGCGGCCCGAGGGTCGACTCAGGGAGATGCAACCTCTCCAAGGGAGGCGCGGCAGCCGCCACGGTCTACGAGGCGCAGGAGGCGGGCGACACGCCCGCTGCTGGAGCTTTCGGACCAAGTCGTGGTGGACCGAGTAGATCGTGGACGACACGTTTTGATCGAGTAGCCGCTGGGCTTCAGTGTCTACGACCAGCCCGAAATGAAGAGGACCAAGAAACTCGTCGAGGACAGCATCCTGATAGAGTGCACCCCGCACGGCTGGCCAGATTGGATACACGGACGAGCGCACCAGCGCACCGGGAACCCACACCGAGGTGCTGGATTGGACGGTGCTGCGCGCCATCGAGCAGCAGATCGACCTAGAGTCCTGGAGGTAGACCCGCACCTCGACGACAAGTGAAGGAGAGTTTCCTGGCCAAGGGACGTACGACTAAGAGAAAGAAGTTGCGGGGCAAGCAACCGAAGCGGAAAGAAACGGGCGATACCAACCTGAGGGAGATCTTCCACCTAAGGACGGGCGCCGGGAGGTCCCTGAAGACCCCGACGGAGTGCCAGGTGAGGCTGCAGCTGGACTCGAGCCCACTCCCTCGCAGGAGGGGGAGGAGAGGCGCGCCAGGTGGCTCACCTACGACCCAAGCGTCAGGTGCGACATAGGCAACCGGCACGTGAACTTTGGTCATCCCACCAAGGTGACGCCGGCGAGGTGCCTGCAGAGTTCGGGAGCCAAGAAACACTCAATCGAGGACGTGTGGGACTTCACGTGCGACGCCTGCGGCGACATGATCAGGACGATGCACGTCCGCTCGGTGAGGATGCCGGGGCGCTACCAGTTTAATTTCCACGTGATGCTAGACACCCTCTTCGCCCACGACGCCGAGGGCAACGCACACGCAATCCTCAACACGATGTGCGACGGCACGAGGCTAAAGGCGGTATGGTACCTGCACAGGCCCACGCGCCCTCTGCCAAGGTCGCGCTCGAGACGTTTCTGACCGTCTGGGCTAGCTGGGCTGCCGCAGTCAACCTTCGTGGACCGCGGGAAGGAGTTCTCCGAGGAGCTCCCGGCCCCACATGTTCGAGAACGGCGTCGGGACGGAAAACGCGGCGTTGGAGGCACACGAGCAGGTGGGCCGCATCGAGCGGATGGGATGCCTCTGGAAGGAGGTGGTCCACCGTGTGGTGCAGGGACGCCCAGATCACGAAAGAGAAGGACCTGCGGACCGTCTGCGGGGTAGTCAACCAGGTTGGAAACGAGAGGGTGCTCTACGACGGTTACTCGCCTGCGAACTGGGTGCTCGAGACTCGCGGCCTACGCATCCCTTGGTCGATTCTACAGGATG